TATATAATATAATATATATATATATAATTATTCCGTAGTGCAATGCAAACACTTTTGCAGCACCTAAAATATTGGCCTGAAAACAATGATTCATGACTGTGGTTTAAAAGCCCAATGCTCCCGACCTACATTCCATGGGAGCCATATTAGGGCCACTTTTAACACAATCATATCAAGAGGGGCAGTCCTAGTTTAAGCAACTGCATATCATGCCAACGCATGACGAACAGTCGAATCAGCACTGAATTAAAAAAGAAGACTATAGAATTGTTTCCGACCTTGTGAAATCATCCATCCTCACCTCCTGCTTCATCAACAAACTTTCCCGTGGGTAATTAATAATCGGCCATGGAAAACGGGGTGCAACGTCACTATGAGACCATTTGTTTGCAAAGACCACCTGTGAAAAAGACACCTTTTGCGGTGACTTTTTGTAGATACGGAAACCAGTAGGCATGCATTCGTAGGACTTCATTCAAATGGCAGCAGCACATTTAAAAGGAATGTCTTTCGAATTCAGCTCGCCTAATAATAATTGTAACTAGAAAGTTCAAGTAAACTTATAAGATGCATTAACACCAAGGAATTAACATTTTATTTAGGTAAGGTGCATCAATCATCGAAACTGTCATCCCGCCTCCAAGGAAAGTATAAAATACGACACTCGAAACAGAAAAAAATGCGCAAAAGAATCACGGTTGATTAAATCTCGTATAGCATCAAAAGCCTTTACAAACCCTAACTACACAGATCTTAGATTTGGACGCAGAGCATTGATGTACTTAAGTGTTAAAAGCATCAAAGTACTTTAAACGTATGGAATGAGTATCGACACGCAAAGTGAACAATGAACGACTCTGAGCTAACTGCCTTACCCAAACAAACAGACATTCATAAATCGAAAACAAGTGATGAAAGTGAGGACGATTATGCATAAATGAGCATAAAACTATATTAAATTCAAAGCAGTAGCTTGCATCCAATAATAGCTATTGAAAAGACAGGGATAGCTCCAAAACAATGATGGATCAGACGAGTCAATAAGACACACTCAGGTAGTTGTTATACTTATACACACACTCACCCTTAAGTGTAACACCACTGACGGTGACACCACCGGGAGTAGAGTTACGGATAAGCTGCTTAACATCAAGAAGGGACTGAGCAGTGAGCGGGATGGCAAAACAGCGCTCCTGAAAAGCTTCTAGTTCTTTGTCCGAAAGGTAGCCATCGTTGTCCACGTCACAGATACGAAATATCCGAGTCAGGGCGCATACACATTCAGGTGTTAGCTAAAGTAAAATGAGAAGAGGCCTTCAGTCTCCATATTGTGTAACCCTCTAATCTGTCAATACATTCATCATTCCAATGACAACCATACCACACTAACACATTCAGGACCAGTTACGACTCCAAAAGTAGTCACTGTTCCTAAACTTTTGTATTCGACTGTTGTGGGGCATTATAATCCCATAGCAAAATTCACGACCCAGTCTCATGTTTGAAGATATAAATTGTTCATTCATATGCAGTGACCGCATGTAAGTCCTAATTTCTACACCGGTTATAGACCGTGAAACATTGCTCGAATTCCAAATATATTCGTCAATCCACTTGAAGTAACAACCTTAAGTAATCTAGCAAAGAGTTGAATGAAAGTCTATAGTTTCAGGCCTTTCAGCCATTGCTTCTTCAGTACCGCCATACCAGATTTATCTAATGAACATTTACGCCCCATGTACTTAGGCCAGGAGCACTGCATTAAAAAAGTGCACCAGGTTATGTAAGACAACGCTTGGACTTTAATCAAAAATCGGCATTTAAATAAACGCAGCGCCAAGAACTGCAGTAGTAAATGCCAAGGTTTAAGACGAATTGCCTAAGCAATATGATCGAAGGCTGTCAAATTAGAGGCGCTGTACCTCTTGTACAACCACAAACTACAAAAGCAGTCTATTTTTTTCCGAATAACACAATACAAGCGCTATACAGTTTGTGTTTAAAGGTCTGTGAAGTTTCAAGTGGAGGAATATGAATTACATATATTACACTTGCCATCATAAAAGCCCTGAAAAACCTATTTGAATTGTGTCTCCCATTACATTACATTACCCAAAAAAACAAACAAATTAACCGCTAATGGTTTGACCGCTGTGCCTTGACAGCCAGAGTATCGTAGCTTCTGACGGGTAGTAGATTTATGAAGAATAACGCATGACCGAAACCATCGAATGTCAAGCACTCAACAAACTTAAAACAACAAAGAAATCGCCTTTCGCAGGAGATGGCGAAACCTTCAGGGGAAATGGAATGCTGACAGCTATTATACTTCAACTTACATGTGATTGGAAGAAGGTGGGCACTCATCCTTTCCCTTTTACCTATAGACCTCATTTAACGGCATTAAAAAGTACAAGAAGACACGTTGAAAATAGGAACAATCGTGGAGTGCTTCTCACCTACCATCAAGTCAATATTGAGGATTACGTCTATTGTCGAATGGGCAGTAATTCCCTCCATTCAATGTTAATGAGGACGAGTACCTTCTCATACGCAGATAACTAAAACACGTCGTCAAATCCCACCCGTATATTCAACATTTCAGCTTTACAAGAAGTTGGTAGAACGACAAAATACTGAGCCATAAGTTCAGTATGTAGCATCATTCTGCATTTGATGGTACAATAGTTCGGAAAGTAACAGTATGAAATGGATGTAGGCACATTGCATACACAAGTCCAGCTGGAGACAAGAGGAAATATCGCAATTAACCAACTGGCCAAAAAAATACCTTTTGCTTATTACATCTGGTGATTTGTTCCGCCTTTTTATCAGAGACCAGAAGATAGCCTACAGAGGCAACCTTCTACCAAAGAGAACTCCGAATTAGTGAACGAAAGAAGAAATTTCACGGGATTTAAAATGAGAAAAATGAGGGCTGGTGGATCCCAGTGAGGAAAACTTCAAGATAAGATGTTAAAGTTGTTGAAAAATCTGGAGACGCGAATTTACATCCACTAACATGACTCTTATGATTCAATAGAGAAAACTTTTTTGGAGGTAAATTAGGAGCTGAACGGAGACAAACTATCACAACGTGCCACATATGAATTAAGTAATAGAAGCTCCAAACAAGAACGGAGTTACTAAGAAAAACGCACTTCCTTCGTTTCAGCATGATAGAGAGGAGCAGTAGGATAGAGAACAGCTTTTTGCGCGAACCAAAATGTCTCACTGAGATTACGAAGCGACTTTGCCGAGCACTCGATGCAGGTCTCTATTTCCGGAAAGCGTTCCATCAGTGGAAGAACTTGCTAAAAGTTGAAAGATGCAAGTAGATGTCAATTAAAAGATATAATTGCGAAGAAAGACGCACCTCCATTTTGCTCTCCTCCACAAGATCCAATTTGTTCCCGACTAAAACGACGGGAACCTTTGCCTCACTGTCATTGAAGCAGGAGCGAATCAACGGCAACCATTGAACAGTTAGCTGAAAATGTGAATGATTGCTAGAACTCTATGACTCTAACGGCTTGTCAATAGCTTAAAAAGGCGGAAAATAACATTCATACATGTTGCATAAAGTTTTCATCATCAAGAGCGTAGACAAGGCAGATAACGGAAGCCTGTCTAATCTCATTAATCAACTGATCACGGGTCTGTACGCGGGACGAAAAGTCAACAATCTCCGTTGGGACACGCTCAGGAGTAACAGAAGCAGGAATTGTGATCTCTTCTGAGCGAGCAGGAACCTAAAGAATACGGCATATATCTATTAATGAAGTAATCGTAGATGACTAAGATTAGCACAAAAAAATTATAACTAAATGGATGGAGGGCGACATGTATTGCCTAATACTTTGTGAGCATGCTAACAGGGTCGTAAGTTGTTAATTCTGAGATTCGAACTATATTCTAACCAAATTAAAGCAAAGGAGCTACACTAAAAAGACCAACCTTTGGGGAAAATTCTTCACTCACAAGCGATAATATGAGTGTTGTCTTGCCAACAAAGGCTAGAAGGAAAATAGACTCATATAGCTACGTACGTTCTCCAACAAGTAAAATACGAACAACGCCCTGACACTTAGGTTTCATTTGAGACCGAAAGACTTCAAGTCCTCCGCGAATTTTTAAAATGAGGCGCATTCCAGTCATCGATTAAAATAAATAACTAGCAATCCATAAAAATAGCATAAGTCATAAATCAGAAAAGTTTGAACCAAAAAGGATTAGGACTTTTATCTTAAAGCATGGCATGCAGCCACTTGGGAATAATATGTAATCGTTGTTTCTTTTTATGTTAGTGCACAATTATTGTTGCATACCTGTTAAAATGCTTTATTGGCACAATATATACATCTGTATTTGTAGCCTCTAAATATGAAGAATCTACTCTTGGCCAAACAAGCTTACGACTCATGAAAATGATAGACTTTATTTATTGATTAACTTCGCTTTATATTCCCTTGATAACAATCCGCATCGTGTAAGTCACATCTCCTGTCTGGCTGTTACTAAGGTATTTGCTTTGCCCTTGTACGCATGGACCGGCCCTCCGGTCATGCAGATGCTTCATCCCCTCTTCCCTTAACATATATGTATTCGGCCCTCCTCCCCCCTGCTGAAGGTATTCTGAGGACTCCACAATACATAGCCTATATGTAATTTCTGAACATACTGTACATTGTGTAAATTGGGTGCACGGCCTGATGCGCCACTTGACGGCCCTTTTCTGCATGGTTGAAGCTACATGCAAATATAAATCTTAGGAAGCAATTTAATGAAGTTAGAATTTTGTTAAACGACTTGATTTAGTCGGAAAATATTGTAGAGCCCTGCAGTCTACCCTAAGACACCAGAGCCTGTGGCTTGATAAGCAAGGTGTTTAGAAAGAATTTGTCGGGCATTCCCGTCCCAGCCTTCCTTCTCGATTGAGACTCTAATGCAGGCTTCTCCCATTACCTATACTTCCTTCTCCTCTGCAGTGTAGTTTAGTAGTCGGTGAAGCGATATGAACTTTGTTACAAATCCTCGGGAACTTGCTGTCCCCGAGCCCAAGAGGATAGTGCACACGTGACCTTCAGTTTTGCCCTACAGCAACATAAAAGTAAGAGATCAAGAAGGAAGAAGGCAAGACAAAGAAAACTGTAGCCTACTTTGCTTTGGGGGACCGCTTATTTGCGTACACCTTTGCCTACAGGGGATTGATTGCCTGTTGGGAGTCCACGAGTCAAAACGGATGTTGAACTCCGTTGAGAGTTGCAGCTCCTGGCGTTTAGCGACTGCCTCATCAATGAGGCGACTCAATCCGCCTATTCTCCGATGAATAAAATGTTTTGCCAGGGCAGGTGGATACACGCTCCTTCTGGACTGGGCCTCTGTCTGTGAAGTAACTGAGAGAGGATAGCAGTCTTTGAAGACTCCCCGTGGACTCCTCATTGCTCTCTCTAGGTTTCCACAAGTGCTGGAAGAAATCTAAAGCCAAAAACTGTTCCTCCTTTAGGGATACCAGTTTGACTGGGAACTCGGAGTATTTTTTAATGCCTGAGGTGAGAGTGTTACCCCGTTCACTGCCTCACAGCGTGACTTATACGGTAAGGCGCGAAGCAGCATAAGCACTCTCCAAAACGGATCGTAGATCTCTAAAACAGCCTTTGTGAATATAAGTTACTCATCAAAATCCATGTCTTCTTTGAAAAGGTGATTCCAATCGGCACTGCCACCAGTGTAGGACCTCCAAGCCTACCCTCAGGCACCTAAACCTCCGGTTTAATAAGCGGGTTGGTTGGAGAGGGTTTATCAGTCATCCTTTACAGACTAAAAAGGAGTGTGATTGTGGGTAAGACAACGATCTAGCACTACTTCATGGAAGGGTCTTCGCGCCCCTCAAGCAGGACATTGGTGGTTGATTTGACTAATCGCCTCTCCTCAATAAGAGCAACTTAACTACATTAGGATACATGCTACAAGTATTATACCACTAGATAGATGCGTAACACAAACTTGCTGGTGTTATTGCTAAAATTGTTCAGATTCATGCGCAATGCACATTACATTAATTAAAAATACCTACGGTAGGTGCAACGAGCCGAGACTTCCTACAGTGTGGAAGATGGCCTTAATTTGTGCTAAATGTATTGATTCTTGGAGGATAAGATGGGGTCAGGCAGTGGCTTAGCCCAAAGGCCAGCCGATACGTACAAGGACTAGAGGAATATCCAAGTTCTCTTTATATTTCAAGTGGTTGCATAAACAGTATTACAGTAGGTGAGAGGAGAAATGACAATCTGAACGCCATGCTTGCACACCTTGAGGGCTACCTCTTTTGAGACCGTAGACAGTTTCCGTTTAAATTGCTGGATAAACCATTCAGAAGTCTTACTTTGACAAGTTCTCGAGGAGGAATGAGGAGACTCTATCCTCCGTCTGTATTCTATTATGAGCGTGTGGGTTTGTAGGTGGTTACATGTCTTCCCAGTCCTTGCAGTGATGGTAAATCTCTTTTGTTCCGCTGCGATAGGTTAATGCTACAGATAAGGCTCTTCTGCAGGTTGAAAAACCTTACTTGGTTTGCAAGCTACGGCTGGTCTGCTGCAGAGAGTTCGACTAATTATCCGACCCAGCCTTGCATAATTATTGCAATAAATCCTTACCTAAAACTGGTCTGTTTTTTATCACATATATTTACAAAGATGGTAAACACTTGAGTAGGACCTTTGAACGACAGAGGAGCAGTAAGTTATTGCCTCTTGAATCGCTCCCTTTAACCCTAGGCCTGACGCTACCAACCAATAGACTGATGCCTAAACATAGAACTCTGGGTGGTCTACAAATTTGCTGCATCTTTATTACGCCCACTTGTATTTATGCGACGACCTTATTGTTTGAACCCATGAAGGTACCTTTAGGTCATTCACAGTTAGAAAGGGCTTCTTTGAACTTGAGTCACTATCATGTATGCATTCGTGTTCAGCCTTTACACAACACAGCCCTTTTCCATAACATGTGTTAGGAGTTATCGCTACCTGCTATTTTGCGTCACAGACACTGTGGAAGAGCGCCGTTCCTTACCATTCTGTCGCTATTCAGCGTTCGCGACATGAGCAGGAAGTCTTTCTTGGTTAGCGCATGAGATTACACGGGATTGTAATTCGCCTACCAACTACTAATCTGCACCTCAGGCTTTTCGTTCAAATTAATCCTCTCCAGAAGTCATTGAAGCATAAGAAGCTAGTGCATAGATTTAGGGAATGTTTCACGAAGCCATTAGAATGGGGGATGATTGTACGCTGATGGAATGTGGTGCTCTATTTTTCATCACCTTTATCTCCAAGCCCAAAGCTTGGAGATAATTTTATGCAGGCGATGAACATTAAAACATCCTAACCATTCTTCTTGAACCGAGTGAAAGCTGTAGCTTCTCGACAGGTACTGCAGGTGATGTGATTAAGGGTGGAAGTTGTGCAATAGAAGTTATTTGCTCAGAATGCCGCCTTAACCAGCAGGCAATTATGCAAGTGACAAGTGCATGCATTCAAATGCGTAAGCAAAGTGAGGATCACGGGACACCACAATTTTCCTCGCACTGACGTAGCACCTAAATAAGCCGTATATGGGTCCGTAATAGCCTCCGTGTTTCTTTCACCTTCGTCTCCACGACCTTAACACAGACCACTAGAATGAGGTTAAGCTCACTAGGGCAGTATAAAATGAGGGGAAGCAAAGGATGATGCCCGATTCGTTATAAGAGTCAAGCATACCAATTACTCCTTCACCCAAAGATAGACTGTTGAGAAATTTCCCCCAGTTAAACATTTCCACCAAAAGGCATTTCCAAAATCCGTTCTGTGGAGGACTTGATACAGCTTCCAAGTTTGGAGTTTGGTGAACAGCAAACAAATATTTGTTGATTGAAGATGGTTCGACAGTGAAAAGTTGTCGTACAAATTAGGTGTGGTAATTGATGACATTACGGACGTGGCCGTGGATCACGGACGACAAGTCGCCGTGGCAGAAAGCGATTTAAGCAAGTAATTCAAGTGAAGTCATGACACACATAATTACGGAGACGAGACGTACGAGACTCAATGCTTATGAAAGAAAAATTAACTGAGACTCATATAATTTTTGGTCAAGTTCATTTCACCATTGCTAAAAAGGTTGAGGACTGAGTTGATTGCCTGTAGGTCATTCTGTTCTTAGTGCACACTAGCAGCACTGCCTCAGGGACAAAGCGGAATGAAGTCGGCCCCAAATGACGCCTACATTTAAGTTGATTGCCCAAATGCCAAATAATGAGTTGACACAAGAGTCCCTATCAAACCTGCTGTTTACCTTTGCCATTCACCCAATTTAAACCTCAGTTTACGTTATTTACGACGTTATCTACGTTACCCATGTAAGATTGTTAATTGACTAAACACTCAATGCCGTCTAAGCCTCTTTATTTGCCGAATAGGACTAAGACAAATAGGGCTAATCGGCAACGGAATGGATAAGAAGATGAGGAAACCTCCCCCATGAGACCGTCTCACTTCTCGTCCTCACCCAAATGAGCAAGCGGCAGCAGCAATCGATGCGTTGGGTGACGGCCACAATCCGTCTTCTGTCAGTGTAGGTTAAAAGTAAAAGATGCCTTCGATGACAAGCGCAATTGGCTTTGTGAATATTTTTCCACCACCTTCGAGTTTGGTACTAACGTAATCAGAAGGTTGACTAAGGCGGGTTCAGGTGAAGGCAGTGAAGTGGCGAGGGAGCCCCACAATCAGTTGATTGTTTGTTTGAGTCTTCCTTTTAATTTGGTGGACTCCAAAGTGTACACTCCTGTGCTTCCAGCTGGGTGATGGTGCATTTGCTCCTCGGTGCTGCTTAGCACACGCGCTTGTTGAATTCTTCTCGCCACCTCCAAAACAGCCTTGGAGCACTGAGGTGATTTCAAGCACGCTGACGTTGGATTCTCGTGTGTGTGCAACTTGAATGATAGAAATAATCTTGCATTTGATTAATTAAAACTTTCTCATTGCAGAAAGCGAGTGCCTGCGGACTTGGGACTAAAGCCTTGGTTATGGAAGTAGTAATGCGCCATTCAATGCCGAGAACTTCAATGAAGCACCATCCATTCTAGACCTGACAATTTGGGATTAAGTTAATGCATCTTTACACACTTAGGTGCGTTAATGAGTATTTTGGGAAAATTTGTGGATAGACTTCAATCAATCGTAAGTGTACATATTTCTTGCCTTTGGCAAGGCACAGCTTTGCATCGCTTGAAACCATTGGGTAACAAAAATAGGCATGAAGCAGCACTCGGAGTCTTTCCCAACGATAAAGGAAGTCATAATACTGAAGTAGGAAATATAATGAGGGCATGCAGAAGGGAGTAGAAGCTATTTCCCATCGTCCCTGGGTCACTTGGTGCTATTGAATTCAAAATGAAGAGTCAAATAAACCGTCGGAGCATTACAAAAGCTGGTCCATTTCTTCTAAGCAGCATCTTCATCGCTCTCTTTGATTCCCATTTCTTATCATCCACCGTAGTTATTTGCAAGTACGAAGGCATCTTGCACCAACTTCACTGGATCCTTCAACCAATTCCTCAGGGAATGGAGTCTTGTCCGTTTTGGAATTGTCGAGGAAGAGGCAAAAGGGTGGACATCACATGCACCCCACCCTCCAGCTGTAAGACATTTAATAAAGGCGTCTAGTCTTCACATTATTTTCAATTCACTACCACTTTAGTATTGTCTAGTCATGTCTAGCTGTGTTCTGGTTTTCTTGACGAAAAGTAAATGAGTTACAGAAGACAGCTTCATGGTTTGTGCTGTCTAAAGATACGAGGATGGGGTGATTGAGGAAGGTTGGCCTCATTTTCGGCTGTTATGTCAAGAATCATAACCAGCAGTCGAAGTCATGCTAAGGTTTAGCATTTAATAATGGAGGTTTGAAACCTCCAGCCCGCAACTACTCCCAGAAGAGAAGGAGACACTAAAAACAAACATGCATTGTCGACGGACTGAAGAGTTCCCAATCGACTGACACCCTCATGTCTTATATTCAAAGAGCAGAGACTCCATAACAGACCAGTCCAATTTTGTATACAAAGGCGGATAGCCGAGATATTGGTTCTGTTGGTAAGGCAAGACAATAATTAAACAATAGTTTGACAGGGAGGCACTTTCACAAACGAAAATGATTCCGTCAATTACAATGCTACCTTGTTTCATACCTTGAAAGGTATCCGAGTCTGTAGAAGCATCACAGTCAATGCAGCTACCCTCATGTTAACGCATGATCATCATAGGCGAAGGGAAGTTAACTCAGTTCATGAACTATTGGAGGTGTCATGCATGCACTATGATCAGTACACATAAAACTGTGAATTGTCAATAGTTCAAGCCATAATCATGACGGAGATCCAGAACCATGATGCAATTAACTTGCTTCAATGCTCTCTTAGTGCTGTATAAGGCGATGCACATTGACTGGATACTGCATTTCATCTCAGTTTTTAATGATAACTGTCAAAGGTACTCAACGCAGAGTGATAATGTCCTGCCATTAAAAAAGGCATCGAAACCAGTCATGGAATGTCTACAAAGCTGGATGAAAGCAATTCTCAGAAATGTCACCGATTGCAAGATTCACAAAAGCTAAGATTTGTCGACATTCTGCTAGTTTCAAATGACTTAGGCGCGGAAATATAGGTACAGAATTGGATTTGCACGTAAAGTGATGCAACAGGCTGCTTACTGAAATGGGGATGAAGAATGTGGTCAGTAGAGAATGCCTATATGAAAGCCCTTCTAAATGACTTGCAAATAATGGCGTCACCTTAGTTGAGAGAGATGCCCGATCTGGTGTTGGTACAAGAACTCGCCTTGAAGCTATTGGGATCGTTGCAATCAAAATCAGAGCATAATTTAGTCTCAGCCAGACATAAATCGCCCTGAGACAGGAGGGCACCACCGAGGTAATGAGCACCCTCCCAGATAAAATCTCCATTGCAAGCCACGACGAGCATCATACGTCTGCCCGACTAGACAAACCCCCCTTAATGTTAGGTATTGAAGGCGGATTTGTATGTCCGCTTAATTTAACAATCGTTTTTAAAGGTGTAATTTAAGGCCAACAATCAAATGTGGAAGTCTCACAACGCGCTCCTCGATGGTCTTTGATGGTATGATTGACAGTAAACGTCAATTTTACGGCAAATGTCAACTCCGCCACAGAACGCCCTCTGGACGAGGCCACAGCACTCACACTTCGCCAATTAATCGTTTGGCCTGGAGAACAAAAGTGCATTACCAATTAACCAGATAGAAGCCAACTCATCTGCGGTTACAAAAGTTTAATCAGCGGACAAAGTCAAACACGACCATCATTTGAACTCGGAGCCCATTCCCTCGTCAAATTCGCAATTAGCGACTAGCGCCCCACCACCCAAACACCCTCGACGGCAGAAACAAAGAAAATAAGCCTCTTTCCTGATTATCAATTTATGCGTAACATCATAACCATGCTCGCCCGAGCCCAACACCGGACCGCCCCACGTAACCACTAGACAAAATTGAGGCGGACAAGCTATAGGACTAAAAAATCAATTGTCCAAGATTCCGTCTCCAACCCCACTCAAAATGACAAACAGTTCAAAAAAAACGCATCACTTGCTGTACTGTTTATCTGAAAGGTAACATGAGGCTTGAGCGAACCAGGAATCGCTGCAGAACCATCTACATCCAGATAACTGAGTGAAGAATAGGCGAACCAGGTTCGAAGCCATTAATTGGGCGCATCATCAGCATGCCATCAGTTCAATTGGGGAAGCGTATTACAAACGAGCGCAGTTGCACCAACACAGGTGCAGACAAGGGAATAATGCATCAATAGTGAAAACGGCAGAAGTGAGACTGTGATATGCACCACCTCAGTTGTCCAGCTCATCGCGTGGATAGATGCGCAGAAGCTTGGGCTTCTCCCAGGAGAATTCTTTGCGACCGAAATGCCCGTAAGCAGCCGTTTTCTGGAAGATTGGAAGCTGTAGATTCAGCTCCCTATAAAACAAAAAATGAACGCCAATAACGTGAACCAGGCCATTGAGTCAGCACGCACTTAATGATGACACCAGGCCGAAGATCAAAGTTCTCGTTGACAATCCTCAGGAGCTCGGAATCGGGCATCTTCCCCGTCCCATAGCTGTCAACATAAACAGCCAAGGGTTCGGCGATACCAATAGCATAGGAGAGCTGGACAAGAACTCGTCGACACAAACCAGCCTTAACGAGCGACTTAGCCACCCATCTGGCAGCGTAAGCAGCCGATCTGTCGACTTTGGAGCAGTCCTTACCTGAGAAAGCTCCCCCGCCATGAGCTCCCCAGCCTCCGTAAGTGTCAACAATGATCTTTCGCCCTGTAAATGAACGAACAAAAAATAAAGGTTCAGTGACCTCAACATGAGGTGAAATTCGTACGCATAGACCAACGCACCAGTAAGACCAGCGTCTGATTGGGGACCACCGATTACAAACCGACCAGATGGATTGATATGATAGATTGTGTCATTATCTAGGAGACGAGAGGGAATAACCTGACGAACCACATGCTCCATTACTTCCGAGCGAAGTCGTTCCAGGCTAACGTACTGATCGTGCTGTATCGAAATAACGACGGTGTGAACCCGGAGCGGTACACACGCGCCGTTGTCTTTTTTGTATTCCACTGTGACCTAGAGCAAATACCTGTTGATCAGACCGACACTTATTTAATGAGAAAACAAAATCAACATTGCTTGCTCCGGAACCCGATGGCCTACCTGGGACTTCGAATCAGGGCGAGCCCAAGGGAGAGTCCCATCACGCCGACATATTGCAAGGCGCTCGTTGAGAGCATGAGCGAGCACGATGGTCAAAGGCATACATTCTTCAGTCTCATCAGTTGCATATCCAAACATAAGCCCCTGAATTATACGACCGTATGTTATAGAAAATGGTCCACGAAGTAAAGAGAAAAGGAGCAATAACTGATCCGACCTGGTCTCCAGCGCCCAGTTCTTCCATCGATTTGCCTTCATGAACGCACTGAGCGATGTCGGGACTTTGTTGCTCAATGGCTGTAAGGACGTTGCAAGTCTTGAAGTCGAAGCCTTTGCGAGAATCATCATAGCCAATTCGCTCAATTACACGTCGTATGACAGACTGAAAATCGATAGTGGCTCTAGAGGAGATCTCACCACCGATGAGAATCATACCAGTTTTCGTGAAAGTTTCTAAGCCACCTAAGATGCGGAAAAACGTCTTACCACATGCGACTTTCGAGTTGGGATCCAGCTTTAGGTACTCGTCCAATATAGCATCACTGACTTGATCACAAATTTTATCTATCTAATAATTTGAAGAAGGGGAGAAATTACCTGCATGACCCTCACCAACGGATTCCGAGCTGAAAAGAAACGTTTCCCCAACCTCATCGCCAGTGCCAGTGTTTGAGTTAGCCATAGTTATACCGAATGCGCATTAATACACGATCGCAGAAGCAACCCCGCCACGCCAAACCACTGGCATGGACGATGAAATTAAAGTGAAGGAAAGCCTACCTTTATTGGTTAGCTTAAACAAAGCAACCAATCACTAGTAAATAATAGACACATGAGAAACTTTGACAGAGTGATACTTAACTGCCTAATAAATACTACGACAACATATTTTCTCCCAAAGGCAGGGGCTACTAACATCACGAATAAGATACTGAACATTCGAAGGGTAATGAACTTACCTTTCCCACATAGGCATTAGTATACTGCCATGAGCTTCAAAGCTTTACAGTTTTATTCTTAAGGCCGCTTTCTAGATCTGTTTAATATCTTATTATGACATGGAGACTCACATCATCAACATCGGTGATTAGCACTTTGATGATAGCGTATGATGTATGAAAAATGTAACCCAGCTTATTGATCATGTTATTTGAGGAACAAGTGAACGCAAAAACAAAAAAATGATATCAATTATAAAAACGTGTTTTACCTTCGGAGCGATAATTAAACCTACTGATATTTTAAAACTAGTAGACGCAGAGTTATGACTTTTTAAAATCAACTACGGTTTTACCGAAACCATCTGGCCTAACCCATTGGAATTAACAAAATTAAAGGACGGCGCCAGCTTTGATGTTTCCACGCCGGAGATGGCGGTGGGGTCGGTTTGCCGTTTTGACCTAGAGGAAGTCGTGGAATTCATAAAAAAGAATGGCTATTCAAGGGTAATATTCATACCATAAAACGAAATTTAAACAGGTTGGTCTTCAGTTCCCTTCTGATCTTCTACCATCTTCCATTGATGTTTATGAGGAGCTTAGTGAGCGGACCTCCGCGGCCATCGCTATATTAGGTGATACTCCGTTCAGTAGTTGTTGTTTGGACGCAACAGCTGGCAAACGATGGGGTGTGGAGGCGGTCATTCATTTTGGGAATGCCTGCTTAACTGAGTCGGTTGGAGGAATTGGTGCATATTATGTCTTTGGTGATATTCCTTGTCCTTCTATCGACGAAAATTTGGCTGAAGTGGGGAATCAGATGGTTAAGTATCTGTCTTGGTGTGGTGGTCCAGTACTATTTTTCTACGACTTTCGATATCGCCGTACGGCAAAAAAAATGGCTGACCATCTCGCTTTAGAGGGTATTGATCTGGTATTGTCGGAACCCGCTCTACCCAACCGTGGTCTTGCAACAGACCCTTCGTTCTTTAAACATGCTGGGCGAATTTTTCGTTACGACAAATCGAGGCCACCTAGATGTCTTCTCTATCTCGGTGAATGCGATTGGGTCTTCTATAGTATTCTGGTCAGTTTGAGAGAAGCCTATGCAATCAATGTCGCCACCATTGATCCTTTAACTGGTCGATTTGCTCTTGCTCCAAAATCAGCTGCATTTTTCCTCCGAAGGCGATACTTCCTTATGGAAAAGGTCAAGTCAGCCAAGCGAATAGGCATTCTGGTAAGAAAAGTAGAGCTACAAGTACATGCGTATTCATCTAACTGGTTCTGAACTTAACTGTCTAGCACAGTTAATAGTTGTAGATTGCTATAACTATCGAATGTCAAACGCTTGTGCGTAGGTGGGTACCTTTTCGGTGCCACGGTACCTCGACATCTTGGCAAGATTGAAGTGTCTCCTACGGCGTGCAAACAAGCCATATACAACGGTGTTTGTAGGGCGGATAAATGAACCCAAGTTAATGAATCTACCAGATCTGGACGCTTTCGTATTGGTTGCTTGTCCACAGGCCAGTTTTTATGACGATTCGAATCTCCTCGTACCTGTTGTGACTCCCTTTGAGCTGGAATGTGTCTTGCATGACCTCGCTGGAGGTGAGGCTTCAGCCGACCACCCTAGACGATGGAATGGTCTCTGGTTGCCTTTGGATTTCGCTGCAGACATACTTAATTCAGGTCGGAATATGATTTTTTTAATGCTGCTCCCTCTCCTCTGACTTCCGTCAAAGATCCGCTGGCGTGCACTTTTGCTGTTCCGGCTCAAACCATTGACGGAAATGGATATCTGCAATGTTGATATGCATTTGAATGCATGCATTGCACACTATTTTCCTCATTTATGCCATAATTTACCATTGGAGTGCGGATGTTGACTTCGACGAAGATTGTCTACTGCCACTAATGGAAATCTGATGGGTTTCAGTTATCTCCTTTATTCTGCGTTGCGTCAAAGATCCGCTGACATGCGTTATTGCTGCTTCAGCTTAAACCATTGACGAAAATTGACGTTTTCAATGCTCATATATGGTTGGATACCAGCATGGTACACCAGTTTGTTATTGGGACGATGGTGATGTTAATGGCAGAAGAGTGTGAAATCTTCTTCACTTTTTTGTTCTGGTTTGCACTAAAGATCCGCTATTGTACATTATTGCTGTTTCCGCTCAAAACATCGAAGGAAGCTCATATCTCCAATGTTGGCATCCATTTGGATGTCAGCATCGCATAACTTTTCTCTCTTTTGTGTCTCGCTTTCCATTGACGGTGTGATTTTAATGCAGATGTCGAAGAAAGGTGTAGCGCTATAGGTATTTATTGAGGTATGGTTTTCTATGTCCATTTACCTTCTTGGGTATGGTTCTGCATTTTTTGGCTAGCGTGAATCATAACTTTTCTTCCGTAATTTGTGTGAGATTTGTGTACAAAGCTTTGCTCCTTCATAGTTCTCGTATACCTTTGGTGCCTCGACTTAAACCATACGCGATGGTCGCGAAGATAGTGCTGTTATCGAATGCTCACATATGCTTGGTACTTGATTACAATAAGATCTTTATTTCTCGGGTCTATCCGAAAATGGGAACATAAAATTGAGTATGATAAGGGTTTGTGATAAAAGGTAATTGGAACTACTCAACTATGGTATGAATTAGCCGAGTGCTTGTCAGCACCTTCTGCGCATTCATGTGAACTATGAACAATTCGTCGTTTACTATTCCTGATGAGCTGTGTTGTTCAATTTGATTCGGTTAATTCGTAAGTATTGGTGCATTTAATGTCGGATTCCGAAAATCAGGCATCGTTGGTATTGCAGGATATTTGGGTATACTTTGTTCCTGCCAACTTCTCCCTGTTCACATTTTCTCAAACCACAAACCTATTTTCTGGCACTACTGTGGATGCAGCAGTAGTTGTATTTCTTGAAACTAGTTTTACTAATCTATTAACTGCTTAGTTGGCTGTTTTCGAATACCCTCCGGGTTGTATTTTCGTCTAGAAAAACGAGGCCACGCTTGAATCCTTTAAAATAATTTTACCATCGCTGCTACAGAGTCACCAATGTTTGCATCGGAGGACAGTGTCGTTCCCGCCAAAGATCCAGAGAAAAGTGTTGAGAAGGAGGTTGAGGAGGGGTTGAAGAGGGATGCTTTAGTTGTCCGTGACGACGCAAACTGGGGTCTCACGCTGGCCTTTCAGGACCTCCTCTCGAGTACTCGTGACTCCTGGCGTGGACTTGATCCTGCGCTAGGTCAGACACCACCTCTCACCACTATCCAGCGCGGTCGCGCTGGTCTTCCTACGAAATACTCTACCTTTTGCGAATAAAAGCATATGGTTGTCAATACTACTATTGTTGAGTAGAGTATTGAGTACAATTACTTTTTTTCCGCTAAAGACAGGCATGACGGTTGTGCGTCAAACTTAACGCATTCTCGGGTAATTAAGGTTAATACCATTTCGCTCGTCAGCTGTTGAGTGTAAACGTTGTGGTGGGGAGGCTTCTTCGAAGCTCACCACGGGGGAGCTGTTGAACTCACGTCACTCATTTTCAGCGTGTTCGAGTAGGGCCACATTAAGCAACTTACGTCAGCTACACTGCCGCAGTGCGAATCGGTGACCTAATAAGACAAGATTAGCAATCGAGGCACAAATTTTAGTTAACTATTGTTTCACGAGAGGTTCTCGATCGCGTGATAATGCGTGCTAACTAACATCTCCGATTTGTCATTAGATCCTTTTCATTCAGAAGTTCGATATTACACCTGTCTGAAGATAATGTCTCCTTTTGAAGTGTTTTATCTGTGGCCCCTAGAAGCATACTCGGTCCTGGAAGACATTTCGCTCTCCACTTTTAAAGCTGGACTTTAACGCATGGGACGAGTCATGTAATGCGGAAGGACCATAAATTATTGTAATCTTTGATAACTGCCACATAAGGTTGTCGACTACTCAGTTACTTGATACCTCTCCTTTACTAGCTGGCTGAAATTCAGGTGGACTTGTATGGTTGGACAGCAAGACCGATATTCCAGATGGACAGTTCGCTTTCCTTCCTTCAGCACATGTCCGGACGGGAAATGACTTGGGTGCCAACTTGGTTGTACGCACAACTGAGCATATTGCGAAAGCCATTGCGAGAAACCAATGAAGGGGAAAGCAAAAAATCGACACTCAAGTGGTGAATAAAAGGCTCTTGCCTAGTAGAAACGGATACTTCTGTTTCTGTGATGCGAGCATTAGACTGCACAGTGCAGAATGGAAAGTGCTCCACTGTCGCCTCTTGAATGGTCTCAGCGTGCCTCATGCATTACAACGTATTCCGACGTAATTTAGGAGTCTCAGTTACAAATGGGCACGACAGGAACCTTCCTCTTCAACTTTATGCTTACCTAGATGGTATCCAAAAGGATCTGAAAAATCGCACCCCACAAATCTGTTTAACGATAACAATAGCTTATCGCCACCTTTACTTACCTCTAAAGAGAAAGAAGGAGATGCATACGATTCCCCTTCCTAGTGAATACTGCTGGCGCATCCCTACAGCTTCTTGCGGAATTGTTTGAGACCAATTTGGAATGAAATGGTAAAGTGAGTTCTTATTCATCCCACCTTATAGTAAGCTCTGAAAGCCCTACATACCAGTAAGGCGACAAATGACACCAGATAAACAAATATGGTGTTTGTTGTCGCCATTGCGATATTCTGCTTCAGTTAACTCTGTTATAGAGCGATGAAAAGACCGACAATTTTACCAAACGAATGAACAAACCCAAAGTAATTTAATGAGTTTATTGCATAAGATTGGAAAACATAAAATAATGGTCAAACAATATGTAGATTTCTGATTAGGGGTCAATGGAAAATGGAAATGGAAAAAAATGGAGGAGTAGTGACAATTAATCCCCTGTCAAAGCTACAAACCACAGAGGAAGGTAGTGAATGGGATCAACGTATCACGAATACCCCTCAGGTAAAAATCTCGTTTAGGGCAGGATAGGTATCAAAGGCTAATTATCTAGATTACAGACAAACTTGTGAAGACCGCTAGCAGTTGAGAACCAAACTAAGAATGGTGGTGATGATGGTCTCGTACATTCCAACCTCCACATAGGGCAGTCAGTTACTAATGTCCAGGCGCAAGTCCAAATTCGACTGATGAAAACATTTATAATGAATTTATTCCTCAGCGTATAAAATTAATTAACCACCCTTCACATTCACCCATGAATTGACACCTTTATGTTAAGGCGACAGGCCGTCAGAACTGAGTCTGTGTTTTTACCGTAACAAATGATACAAAGTGGCTAAGAAAGTAAACAGCAACACGCCCTCCTACTCCTGATTAGCGTAAAAAATGCTGCACTTGCTGAAATTAGGATCTGTTGAACCAACTCTTGCTGCTGCCTCGAGTAGCTGAGACTTCAAGAGGTTCGTATCTTTGCTGTTCCTATGCTCCATCTCCTCACTCACCCTCCCTTCTTCAATATCCTCTACCAGAGCTTGAGGGGAGGCATCGTCATCGTCCCTGGCCCTCACGGATTCGGTGATTTCATAATCATCTAAAAGACGATCAAAACTAGTACATAAATCACAGCGGTGTCAAACAGATGAAGGTCCTAGATTCGACGCTAACTTAAAATAACTACTTTCTGAAATACCTGAATCTTCACAACACATAAGCAAGCTCGATTATTTTAAGCCTATCTAAACAGGCACAAAATAATAAAAACAGAAGCGCGGAAAGGGATTGCAATATTACATGAAAGAAGGTGTCATAAAGTACAAGAAAAACGTAACAGATAAACGGCATTATTGCCTAACATTAGAAATCGAGAAATTGCTAACTGACATTAGCCTACCTAAAACCTCCTCAATCAGGGGCACCTTGAGCTTAATTTTTCCTTTTGATTCATCTACAATGAAAAAATTGAGTCTGCTTTGCGGAAGGTTTCATAAGCTAAACCCATAACATTCCTTTAATAGTTATCAGGCAGATTATCAAACCTAGGAAGTAATCACATAGAAGGACCACCCACATACTTGGCAGTTGTGTCCAAGCAACGGCAGTAGTCTCGAGTTCTGTCGCATGTTAGCAATACAAAACGGAACACGTATACGTCCCCCAAGATTCCTTAAAAGATCTACCCTAATTTCTGATACCAATTGATAGACATTAAAAGGACGAAAAAAGCATGCGTGACGAATGAGAGAAATAGCGACGAACTCAGTCTACCTTCTGCAACTACTCAAACTTCATCCCTTAAGGTAAGCATTAGCAAGAGAAGCAGCACCAGGGACTATATGCAGTACATACAAGAAGACGCAAACTCATAGTGCGTCCCTTAAGTCTCTACCAGCAGGGTGAAGTCCAGACAAGTAAAACAGGCAGTATCGACATACAAGCGGACAATTAACAATGAGTACTACCTCCCTTGGTGTTCAAACATTTCCATTTTAATATGACCGATCTTGACCTAGTGATGACTCAGAGTATATTCACATCTCGAATACATTTCAAGAACACGAATAAATCGCAAACTCAGTATAACAGCCAACAAATACCAGTGATAGTGAGAAAAATTACCATTGTAGGCGTTTTCCCCACAGCATCGATCGCTTTGGACTGACTCAGGAAGCGTACCACAGGAAGTTTCGTGAACAATGCTCAGAGTAGACCATGTAATACATCGATTGTTCGTACAAAAGAGCTACCGAGAAGCTTAGCATCGGGTGATTTGACTACCAAAGTATGTCAGCAGTCTCAGGACCCATATATGAACTACCTCTTAGAACAAATATTCCTTAGCATTTGCGGAAATCCAGGAGGGTTATGTTGGTTCCAATTAGATTAAAGGGGTAAAACTGGGGAGGATTAATTTAATAAAAAAACCCACTGCAGTTCAAGAATGGGTTACAAAAACCAATAAAATAACTTTGACAGTGCATGTGAAGAAGTTTAAAAACTTCTTTTACGATAGTTAGATTCATACGCTCAATCACCTTCAGTTAAGGTTTCGATTTCCTCGACGAACATCGATCTAGGGGACCCGAGTTTGGGACGCGAGTCTGAAACATTAAAACTTTGACCTGATAGCTTAAAAGCCACTTTATCATTTAGACGGAAATCAAGGTCTAAGGCGACAATGAAAGCGTTTCCTATGTAAAGAAAAACAAGAGGGACCTTAGCAATTTATTTCATAGTCTCACAATACTGGAAAGCGCCAAATCTTGGGGGAGGATAAGCCGGAAGGCGTACCTTTTGTGAGAAGCAACTTTGCCTTCCAACCAAAATCATAATCTTCGGACGTTAACCCGGACGAAGGCTGCGCTGCCCGCAAAGCATCTGCATTAACCTCCACAATAGGCTCATCGGATTGGTCTGTATCGATCTGTTAAAACGAAGCCAAGTTAACCCATCAGAATTCACAAAATGCGAATAACGATTGTAAATAGGTGAAATTACTGGTACAGAGAAAGATTCCACACGACAAACTTCCATTTGCTTCAAGGATTTTGAAGGAGTAAACTCCTCGACCTCACTCCCAGCGCTAGCATTACCATCATCAAGGGCATCATTGGATGAACTCCTCCCTACCAAATTGTCACCAAGGTGTGCAGGTGTGACGGCATCCAAACTAGGGCCGTCTTGACTGTCGCCACCTGCTGTGTTGGGCTGTATTGACTGTTCGCTTCCATAGAGCCAATCTATGTCCTCTGGATTTACATGTATGTCGTCAGTGGGGAGGCTCTCCCCTCTGGCCTTTTCAGCCAGCTCCTTTTCACGATTTGCCGCCTCTATTTTCCTGCGACGTTCTGTCAACCCTGCAAAATTTCCAGTGCATATATGTATTAGATTAATTGTTGCCAACCAAGAACACTTGATTCATTACGCAACACTGGAGAGGCAAAATCACTCACAGTTGCAGCTATCCATAAGTCGTTTGTGCTCTGCATCGTTGATCTCCTTGCGAACACGACACTCTTCATCTGGCCCACCGGAGTAGCTTTGAAGGACAAGGTGAGAAACTCAAAAGATATTTTTAATAGAGTTAAGTAGTTGCCTACTTATAAGAATTGCGTTGTCGGTTAATTGCAGAAAAAGAAAATAAGGCCACAGGTTTTTTTTAGTGATGAGAGCTCATAACCAACTAATGGAATGTCTAAAGCGCAACCTCTTGAATTGAGCATCTAGTGACGAAGAAAAGTCCCGACCAGAATGCATGGAACTCACAATGCCTCGGCACAAGCTCTGTCCTTTGGAAAAACAGGCCGTTCATCCAAGTAGGTTAGTTCTTTCTAAAAGGAAAAGTAAACTCAACTTTCAATGAAGTCGAAGTAACTTAAAGCGTCTATTGTCGGTTTTACTCACACACTGATTGATGAAGTTTTTACGATAATACTTTACTTCCCGAACAAAAGGGTTGCCTTGGTTGTAGAGGACTCGCTGCAGAGTGATAAAATATCAGAGCCCAATGAAAGAAAGAGTAAAGATGAAGCAAACAACGACCTACAAGACTGGGCATTTGAGCGAAAATCTCTTCAAGAACAGCGGGGTTATCAATCCGATTCTGCTGAAGATCAACGACGGTCAGAGCTTTGCATTCGCGAAGGTGCACAATGTCCTCCAGAGTTTCAAGTTTATTGTGGGAAATGACCAATTTCTTTAGGACCGGTAGCATTGCTTTGAAATGCAATACACAGTTCATAGCCAGGTTAAGCTTAAACTACGTTTTCTTGATAATGTATTTAACTTTAAGAGCACAGCACTATTTAGTTTTGCTAGACATTTCAAAGCTGAGTGGACGTTTTCAGTTTTCTTCATTGACGATACAAAATCCATCTCATGACATCAATGATACGCCAACGGCCAAGAGTTCTAGCAGTGAATGAAGAAGAGGATAATCAGGAGTACTTCAAAGCCTCTGTTTTTGCCATTCAACTACCCAGGAGACGTATATACTATGTCCCAGCTCTATGAGATATTTCAGAAGTAGGGAGCTCATGCTCTTAACAATCGTTAGGCCCATGTACTGGATGAGATGAATAAGGTGGGAAAAACCGGAATCATTTAATATCCTAAAATAGTAAATTTTGTACATCGAGTTAAAAATGATCGAATGCTCTGTTATTGGGCTCATTCAGCTCAAGAAAACTGACAATACCTTAAGCTATACGGTGACTCTAGTTACACTCTTCTTGCCTTTCTACCTCGTAAAATAAGGCCCATGAAAGTTTATTTTACAGCAGTTTCACAAGGAAATCATATGACCAACCGATGCAAGAAATTGACATCCTATGGGGACACTAGACTTACAAAGATTTTCGATTTTTGAAATCATGTTGTGGCTGACATCCAGAGTGTCTAGATGAACCATGTGGTCAAGGTTTTCGATTCTTCGAATAAGATTCTTGGACATAAAGAGGCAACGCATTTCCGTCTGATACTCCAGTCCAGCAATCTCATCGATTCCGTTGACATCAAGGAAGAGACATCGCAGACCTGTGTAGTCTTCCAAATTTTCAATCCATCCAAATCCTGTAGGCAAATAACGAGCAGCGGAAAGCATATATAACACCCTCAAGAGTTATCAAGCTGTTGAGAAAGAGGGATGCCAAAGAATAATATGATCGAACCTCGATAGTGCAAGTAGAGAATATCATTGAGGTAAGGCGTTTGGTAGAGTTTCTGCTCTTTGCAAATTTTTCTAAGCACCTCCTTTGTCATCCTAGACAAAAGTTACAAAAATACAAACGATGGAGCAAATATGATACATTCTATGTGGTTCCATCACCTACCATAGAACATTATGGCATGTTGCGACAAACTATTTAAGTTATTTTTTGCAATGCCCACCCACACAAAACTAACTTTTGACAATCATCTTATATGTCACAGTCTCATCTGAACAAGTCAGTGTAACACCAGCGAACTACCTCGGCCACTTATTTCTTGCTGCATCTTCCTCGGCTGTGAGCGTTCGTTTTGGAGGGTTCAACTTCCTCTTTTCTTGATATTCCTCCTGGATTTCAAACATCGTTTCTTCACTTTCATCAACTTCAGTGTCCATCTTGGCATTTGCATCATCTTTATCTACCTCATTTGCAACTTTAGTGTCTACAATGTTATCGTGACCTCCTCGGCAAGCTGCGTCGGCGATAGCAGTAGGCTTGACGACAGTTTCGTCAAATTCATAATTTGTTCCATTTATGGTATCTACAATCTCATTCACATCTTCCATTTCATGAGAAGCATCAAACTCAACTGTTTCAACTTGTTGAGAAGTCGCATCATCTAACTTATTGGTTAATTCTTGCTCTATAGGGACATCTAAATCTTTATTTAAGTCTTCATCAGCCACTTTCTCGTCAATTGTAAAAGTTGTTACTTTCTCCGTTCCAATCATGAAATGGTCATCGCTAATGAAGTTAACGATGTCAGCTGATACTGCGCTAGGACTACATCCATTTGTTATTCCATGAAAATCGAACATTTCAACCTCACTATCAATGTTTCCAGAGGTAGCGACGGGTTGAGTGATCACATCGTTTCCAGCCCCATGGAATTCCGCAGAAAAGGCAGAAGAGTGGTTGACCTCGTCTACTTTGAGCTGATCGGCTTTGAAAGAGGTCACAATTGTGCAAGGACTTGCGCGTAGGTCTGTGCCGTTTGGATTCTGCAAGGGTGATACGATTTTAAAACCTGGGTTTTGCCTTAAATCTTGCGGAAAAGCAGAGGAAGAAGGTGGTGGCGAATTCCTCAAATAAATAACCGGGTCTGAAGACGAAACTTGAATAGACTTAATTGCGTCATCTAGGAGAGGCAGAGGATTGTCCAACAAAGTGGAAGTTTCTCCAGACAGACAATAGGTTTCGTTGAGAAGTTTCACTGAATTATCAAATGCATTAAGTGAGTCAACGTTCTCCTCGCCATTACAATCCCGAAAAGGCGATTCATTCGGTGCTTCTGCAGCAGGTTGGGAAGTATTGGTTTTTACGTCCTCTACGGCATCGAAGAAAGTCTCTTCAAGTGCTGTTGAGGATGACACTTGTTCAGTATCACTATTCATTCCTAAAACACTTAAAACCTTGAAACACACTTCAAAAGTGAAATTATTTACTGGCTAAGAATGACTCAGAATTGTTTACAACTAGAGATTCAACACGAAAAATAAGGTGACACTGAGTTCAAATTGCAAAAGAAGGTCTTCAAAAATCGAACAGGTTTACAAGGACACCACCAAGTATATTTGCATAATGATGCACTATTTCAACAACATTAGATGTTAAATCCAGCGATTCTCATCAACATGCTATATCCAAGGTGACATGATAGTGCAAAATGCATGCAACTACAGAGAACACTAAAAACTAAAGGGCAGTTCGCAAACATGGAAACGAAGAGTGAAGGAACAGAGTGACATTTAGTGGAATTTACTAACAAATCATTACAACATAAAAGGCAACGTTACGGTACACAAAAATCAATCAGATACTTTTCTATAAATTAAGATGGTCTGCAGAGCAGATCTAATGCTGGCTTCACCTTCCACTGAAATATAGAATTTAAGCAGATCAACTGCCAAAATAAACACAAATCCGAAATACTAGCTTGTCCTTATAAAAAAATCGGAGGCGCATCAGGATAGGATAAATTATCGATTAGCACACTTCACGGCAAGTTCAAAAGTTGCTCTGTGGGCATAAATACAACTATCCAATTGCAATCCAGTGATTGTTATGACAATTTTCACGACACCATATTTAAAGAATTGAAGAAGCATCAGAAACCAATGGAACACTTACAGTCCTTCGAATTCTCATTTTGAAATCACCGAAGAGATTCTATATGCGAAAATTGTACGGCAACTCTTTTGAGTTTAGCACTATAGCATTATCGATAACGTTGGTTACCCATTGCTCAAGGTGTAGTAGTCTAATACCCTTACATTTAGCCGGGAGGAAAGCTGGTATACTTTCTAATCCAATGGTTTAAGTCTCTGTAGCAACTGCTTGCCTACCTTCATGCCCTCGAAACACGGAATTCATGAGAAGTTTAGTTACAGTAGGTTTATAAGGCATTGAATACAGAAAGAACGGGGTTAGGAGTATAGATGAGCTGAATAGCAGACATCACCCGCAGATGGGTTCCTTATGATTCTCACGCACCGGGTTCGTGTTCGAATTCGTTTCTCACCTCTCTTCTATAAAGGCTAACTTATACACTCAAGTGCACATACTACAGCCTCTTTACACAGATACCATATGTATGTAATGGGGAATTTCCTCAATGCAACTATGGTCGGCACCCAACCCAGTATACGACCACGCAAAACAGAATTGTGTTTCTGTGATCAAAATTCGGTTATTTGGTTTTACTGCGATACATCACTTTAATATTTAATGTAGGCTAATGTATTGTCCCGAGGCTTCCTGGCAGGTATGAGAAGTCAGTAAGTGCACCTGAATACATGCATTCTGAAAACGACAAGGCAAATGGGCCTGGGCATGGCCCGAAGGCCAGCTCACGTGTAAATAAACCAAATATTACAGCTAAAGCCATGTCCTTTCTTTTGCTGCTACAACATTCAAGAATGCGCTCCACTTGCTGGTTTTGCAAAAGATAACGCGAATGGAGTTTTACTTTAGCGTCACATTCGACGCTGATAGCGTATATGCCCTTATTTTACGCATTAATGTAGAAGCGTTGACTCTTCTCGTAGTGGATAGATAGAGATGAGTTGAAAGGTCGATGTGTGCATATGCATAACATTCAGCATGCCAAATGTAACTTGGTTTTCATGACCAGTGCAATACTTTGTTTGATTAACCATCTGACGTCTAATGCTTGCTTTGGTAATTGTTTTGCCCTTTTTTTCGTGGACTGGACTTTGGGCCGTATCAAGACACTATCCTTTCTTCTGCTTCTAGAAAACATTGTAATACTTTGCTTATGTGACCGTCCAATGTCAAGCGATTACTTTAGATTGTACTCATGGGCTGGCCTTCGGGCCAAGGTCGGAATTAGCCCCTTTTTTCTCTTTAAGTTACATGCAATTAGCTCCCCTTTATGTTCTCTACCCATTGGGAAATCTCGGGATGCTACATACGTGTAATCTACCCCACTTGATGCCTCCTTCTACTTGGTAGGAAGTCTCGTGGTACTACTGTCAGTACCTTTGATTGATCAAGTTTACAGACCGCGACTGCGTTAAGCACAGATAGTAGGTTTGTAAGGGTCGCTCTCCTTTAGTTGCTTCGTTGCAACTCCTTCATAAACGATGCAGCATGAAGCTTTGTATGCCTCATTGTCGTCTCGTCTCTATCATCATTCGTTTGTTTTGAACCCTCCTTTACGCGCCTTTTTTGGCACTTCATCCCTCATTTATTTGCATACACTGCGGGGAAATGTGCAGACAACAAAATTTGGTCATGCAAAAATTCGTTAATAATTTTGAATTTTTTAAAGTTAAAATGTGTAAGATATGGGGCGCGATCTGATCGTCGTGGACCCCATTCCACCCATTGAATCACCTGTGCTGATGGTATGGCCAAAAGTCAGATGCAAGGAGAAGATATTGCTTTTCAATGAAAAATATCGAATTTAAGCACAATTTTGGCGCTGGCCTTATTGACTTAAGGCGCCTAATGGCACCTAGAGTTGATGGTTGGGCAGGTGATGGTGTAGACTTGTGAGCGAGTATTTATCTCTCATGCCAAAAAAAAACTTTCGCATTTTAGTACACTTTGCCGCTTTCACAAATCTTACTGTCAAAATTCTCTCTTACGCATCGATGCACACACTCGCTTAAACCACCTAAAGTTTGATGAAATCCGATTTAATACCTGACTTGACATAAGGAGTATGGAATAAGGTGGAGCAGACATAGACATAAACAGATCATCTTCATTCCACTTCTGATGAATTAACTCGACCTTCATGGGAAAGTGTGCCTCCCCGGGTGCACATTTCCCCACATTTTCCCCGTCGTTTCACAAAGTTCAGGTTTCCCTCGATTGTATTTAAAGTAAGATATTACTAAAAAGCCGATTTGGAAGCGAAGTTCCCTTTATCACCTCTTAATCTCATCTATCGAGACAGTTTAAACTGTGACTTCATTAATCTGAAAAAATTATTCCCAGCAGAGGAAAGGAACTTGCTCTTTTCGAAGACGAGTGCTCCCAACGAGGTTCTCCAACGCTTACTGGGTCTAGTTGTCCTCTTTGAAGATCATAAGTGACTCACTGTTGTAGCGCATGAGATGAAAATTATGGCCGCAACTTTACTTCCACCTGTTGGAGGTTCCCCATTACTTTGCACTACATAGAAATTAGGAGTAAATTTTTTGCTGGTTACACGTTTGACTTTGTGCTGCATGCTGACTTGCGGATATGACAATCTGCCAATGTTTTAAACCATAATTGGCACAAAACTGGTGCGAATTATGTCTAATCAGAAGTAAATTTTTATCACCAAGGCTAGATTAAAATACATCTCATAGAATTTTTAGAATTACATGTAATTGAATGGATGATATTGCAATTGTCCCTTGGCAAGCGAAGAGTCAAAATCTTCGCATTGACGACGACTGGCAGATAATCACTGCAAGCTGCACCACTTGCACTTGCATCTACACTCGACTTTCTTCTCGTCTTATCTTTGCCTCACTCAAAATGACTCAGTCGAGGTACATTCAGCCTGTCGCGGATGGGTCCCTTTGTGGATGTCTATTCGGGGAACTACATGGTGCGAACGTCAACGTGACCATTACTTTGTCCTCAAACGACATGCACAAGCATATAATAGTCCAGACTGACACATCGGGGAGCAGGAAGCTTGGCAGAGATTGATAATGGGCACGACCACGATGTCAAATTGACTACGAAGCATCTTTTTGATGCAGACCAGTGCCATATTGAAACAGCAATTTAGACAAAGCTTTGGTACAAACAAACCTACCTCACTTTTGTCCGTGATTTGCAGGCACTGGCGTCATCCCTCTTACTCATGCCTTCCTCTCCTCCTTCATTAAATGAGCACAATCATTCACCAACGCACGCCTTCAACATGCTTACAAAAGTAGTTAGGTCCAGTTTACCCAAATCATCAAACGCCTTCACACCTCTTTTCCACCTTCCTCCTCACTGCGAGTGGAGCCTGGGCTGAAGACAATACCCAACACCGTGACTATTTACCATAACATACATTCTGCAATGCGATGTCTGGGACCATATCCACTGTCATGGCGTGTGTCCCGAAGGCCTGAATGCCTCCCAAGTCACCTGCGTGACGACGCATCGCATTCGGCAGGAGTGGAAGAGAGTCAGAATATTTGAGGAAGAGCACACCGTGACGGAATGTGAGAAGACATAGGAGAGTACAAGGTAATGGCCAGCACTCATGCACCGAAGGACACTTCAATGCATAGCGTGTCGCTCATTGAACATGAAACATTTGTTGGAGTGCGCATGTGACTACTAATTTGCATTACAATGCCCAAGGTATCGGTGGTCTAATGCTGTTATGGCAAAGTTGTTCCAGGCATGAAGCCATTGGACCCAAACATCGAGTGTGTTTGGTCCGATAGCGTACTAAATTAATAGCCTACTGTTCGTCTGGGAATCTAAGCATTTCAGACTGAATTCACATCGTCTCCAATCGCTGCCAGTGACATACATGATTATGTGCCATTTTGTGTGTCGATTTGCAGTTGCTTCAGCA